GCCTGTGGTACGGGGGTGGAGGACTTCTTCCTCCCTTTGCACCCACTTTCACCTTTATGGCACAGAAGTGTTCACCATCAAGAGGGTAAAATTGTGGGCCCTCAGTTGAGGCATTCAGTAGCTAAGCCTCTCTGTTCCGCATGAGCAAAGAGACGGGGTGGCTCAGAGCCCTGAGTCTACCTAACAACCAAACCAAGCAGGGGAGAGGTGTTCGCAGTTAGGAAGGTATAACTGTGGGTCCTCAGGCTATGTGTCTAGTAGCTAAGCCCCTCTACCTGGTGTGAGCAGAGAGCCAGAGAAGCTCAGAGACCCGAGTCCACTTAGCACCCAAATCCCAACAGGGGGTGTTCACAATCAGGAGGATATAAAATGTTGGTCCTCAGCTGAGGCACCCAGTAGCTAAGCCCCTCTGCTCAGCTTGAGTAAAGAGATGTGGTGGCTTAGAGCCCTAACCCCATCTCTTTACTCAAGCTTTACTCCCATCAGGGGAGAGGAGTTCACAATAAGGAATGAATATGCTCAGCTTTCAACAAGTTCCCTGCCTCTTTGTCTGCCAACAGATAACAAAGGAGAAGTTGTGAACTGGACTGAGGGCATTTTGATCCCATAGAGCAGAATGAGAACTCTGGCAGCCAGCTATGGCTGTTAAAATTTGGAGGGCCCCTATTGGTGTTTTCAAGGCTGAAGAAGGCTGCCCCCCATGGCTTTGAAGTTAGTAAACAGTCTGAGTAGAGATTATCTATCTGAAAAGGTGTTCATTCATGAACTGCCACGAACAGCATGAAAGTTTGTGGAATGTTCATGCTGGTCCGTCTTCCATGAACTTCAGTTTGCAAACCACTAACCACCCAAAATTTGTGATGAATTTTAGTTCCTGAGCTGGTTTGTGCCCTTTAAAATTCCCTGATGAGGCAATGGACATAAGGGAAAAACAGATCACTTGGACAGAGGTGTAACTGATGCCAATTTTTGTTTGTCGAGTTTCGTACTTTTGCCATGATGCAGATGAGAAGATCTGCTTTTAAATGAGCATCTTTTTGAAAAAGCTATAGGAGGAATGGACATATTTAGCAGCTGGGAGATGCATTCAATGTCATTGCCATATCTGCAAACTCATTAAAAGCCCTAAGGCACATGAGAGAGAAAATACTGTGTGAAGCACAGATAACACTTCCAGGCACTTTTTTCCTTTGTTTCAGTAAATAAACAATCACATGAACATTCCTGATAGATGAAATAGAGGCTCTGTTCCATGAAAATTAAAAGACAATAAATATTTGATGCTTCAACAGACTTCAGTTAAACGGTGTCTCTAGCTGATACATGATTCTACTAAAATATGATATCTTTAAAATCTATTGCTTTCCACCTTGATCCCGTGACATGGAGCAAGCTGTAAATAAATATACTTTTTATGGGACCGAGTCTATAAAATATTGGATGCAAACTTTTAAATTTATACTCCAGGGTTATTTTTAAACTCATTGTAGCAAAGTTCTTATTTTGGATGAACCCCCCCCCCTGCATTCTCCTGGAATTCAAGAATGAATTATGGGAAGTTGATCCTCCAATGTCCTTAGTATAAACTCCCCAAAGAGAAAGCATTTAAAGTGTGCAGGAAGACAGTTGTTCCTATGAATTGTTTCTTTTGGCATTAGCAACAGCTAATTGGAGAGGGAACTCTCAAGTGAATCTCAAAATGGAAAGAGTAATTCAGGTTACAAATTACAGTGTACCTACTGGTATTTTCAAAATGTTAGTGCCTTGCAGAGAAGGACCAGAGCTTAGTGCCAGAGAACAAACGTGTGAGATCCTCAGTACAAGACCTGATGTCTTCTGTTAAAAGTCTCAGGTAGCAAGTCCTGGTGGCATTTTCCTGGTAAGGAAAGACAATACTTAGTTGGCTGAACTGCTGGTCTTGGCTCAATACTACTCAACATAATAAACAAATCATATTACAAAACTGTTCCCCACCACTTGGTTTTATATGGGCAGGGAGGTGTTTTTTTCATGGTGGTGCCCAGAAACATGGGGATGGAATTTCTCCCATTTACAGTTGGCAGTGGTACAGTCCAGGAGCAGTTTAGCAAAGTGATCTGCTGTGTGCATAAACTAAGGTTGGTTTCACAATGCCCTCCCTCCAACCCTAGACAGGATAGACAGCAAGTCTTGCTGGCTGTGGCTTTTGTGAATCTCGAAGGTGCAGGCTGGATGTGTCTTGGATTAAACATGCTATGTTGGAGGCATAAATTGTGCTTGTGTGGGCACCATACCTGTGGCTGGTTGCACTTCTTCTGCTGGATTATGTTAGGCTCCAGTAATGTTCTGATCAGTTGATGGAAGCTAATGTTGGTAGCTCTGCATGTCTCTCTGCAGTTGACTGCCCTGCTTCAAACAGGCCCATTTGTTCTGTCTGCATCAAGTCAAACAATAAGTATTTCTTTAAATATATCCAGAGCAGGAAACTGGCCAGAGAGGCAGTTGGGTTTGTGGATGACAAAATCATTAGAGGATTGCTAAAGAAAGATGGCAGAGAAGCAAAATGAATTCTTTGCATCTGTGTTCCCTGTGGGAAGTGTGTGGCATGTACCCAGGCCAGTGAAACTATTTTCAGGAAGGGAGTCTGAAAAACTGAGTCAAATTTAATTGATGACAGGTGAAGTTCCAGACCTATTGGGAAAATTAAAAAAACTAGTAAATCTCCTCTAGGTCCTGATAACATACACAGGAGGGTTCTTAGGGAAATCAAATGTGAAATTATTGATCGAAGAAGAAGAAGAAGAAGAAGATTGGATTTATACCTCACCCTTCACTACCCAGAGGAGTCTCAGAGCGGCTTACAAACTCCTTTCCCTTCCCCTCCCCACAACAGACACCCAGTGAAGTAGGTGGGGCTGAGAGAGCTCTGACAGAAGCTGCTCTTTTTCAAGAACAGCTGTGCCAGAACTATGGCTTGCCCAAGGTCATCCAGCAGGTGCAAGTGGAGGAGTGGGGAATCAAACCCGGTTTGCCCAGATTAGAGTCCACGCACTTAACCACTACACTAATATGTGTAACTTGTCACTAATTTAGCTGCTGTACCAGAAGCCTGGAGAGTAGCAAATTTTACACCAATATTTCAAAAGGGGTCCATGGGGGAATCAGGAGATTACGGGCTAGTTAGCCTAATGTCTGTCCGGGGAACATTAGGACAAACTGAAATGAATGATAGAATTACTAGGCACATAGAGAAACAAAGCATGTGGAGGGAAAATCAGCATGGCTTCTGCAAAAGAAAGTCCTACCTCACCAACCTTTTGGAGGCTTTTGAAAAGGTACCTCACCAAAGACTCCTGAGTAAGAGGGTGGGTCCTGTTATGGAATAAAAATGGGTTAAATGAAATGAAGCAGAGAGTAGGAATATATGAACAGTGCTGTCGATGGAGGGAAGTATGCAGTGGGGTTCTACAAGGATTGGTATTAGGACTGGTGGTATTTGATTTGTTCATGCACGATCCAGAACTGAGTGTGAGCTGTGTAGTGGCCAAATTTGCAAATGACACAAAATTATTTAGGATGGTGAAAACAAAGGGTGATTGTGAAGATCTCAACAAATTGGTTGAGTGGGCAACAATGTGGTAAATGAAGTTTGTTTCAGTTAAGTGTAAGGTGATGCACACTGGAGCAAAAAATCTCAACTTTTAAATATACACTAATGAGGTCTGAACTTGCTGAGACTGACAGGGAAAG